TCAGTTATGTATATTTCTAAGATTTATCCCAGTAGCTCACCAAGTTCTCTCTGTGAATGTACCACAATGTATTTTTCCGGTCTTTTGTTGATGGACATGTAGATTATGTCTAGCTTTTTGCTTTTATGAAAACAGTAGCTATGTACATTCTTGGGTGTGTTTCAAGATCTATGTGTTTAAGGTTTTCCCTGTGGTGGCTACCTAGGAATAGAATTGAGTCATAGAATAGAAGGATATTCTTCTTTGCAAGATAATGCCTGTTTTCCAAAGTGGTTATACCACTTACATTTCTGCCAACAGTGTATAGATTTCCCATTCGTCCACATTCTTGCCAACACTTTCTATTGTCAGATTTTTAAATTTTTGAGTCAAATAGGTAAAAATAGAATCTCTTATTTTGCATTTCTCAGATTACTAATAAGGTTTAAAATACTTCCATATGTTGATTGGCCTTTTTTGTTTCGTCTGAATTGCCTAGTGTTGTCTTTTGTCATTTACCTGTTGATTTGTTTGTCTTTCTCTCTTTTATTTGTACTAGTACTTTGTATAGTCTGAATACTGATCCTGATTTTATAGCAAATATCTTCTAATATGTGACTTATATTTTCACTTTCTCTATGGTGTCTCTTCATGAACAGAAGTTCTTTATTTTGGTATTCTCTGTTATCATTTTTATGATCAGGGTTTTATGGAATTTTTAAAAATCTCAACTACACAGGGATAAAAATTTATTTATTCTGTAAGTGTTTCAGTTTTGCTCTACACATGTAAGCCTTTCATCCATCTGTTTATGGAGTAAGGGAGGGATCCATTTTATTTTTTTCTCCATAGATAACCACTTGTCCCATTGATTGTATCCATTTTTCCTTTATTGATCTGAAATGCCACCTCTCTCTCATATATACTATTTCCCAGATGTGTAAGGCTTCATTTTGGTGCCTCTTACCTTGATTCATTGGTTATTTTGTCTCTCTGGACAGTACCACAACGTCTTAATTCCTGTAGTTCCCCAACCTCTTACTCTGCTCCCCTCCCCTAAAGGAAGCTGGTTTTCTACTATCTTACCTTTCGTTTCTGTTTATCCTGTCTAGTTGTTTTTCTTTGCTGTCCTTTGTCTTTGTCCTAGTCCTTTGCTTGTACTATGTTATGTTTAGATGCAGGTATGGTATATTATGGCATATTTTGGTTTGTACATTTGTCCTTTTTGGTATATGCTGTGTCTCATGCATCTGTGGATGCTTGTCTTCCATCATTTCTGGAAAATTCTTGGTAATCATTTCTTCAAATATTGCCTCATTTTATTCTCTCTTCTCTTTCCTTCTACAATTGTATAAAGCCTCATCTCCCCATTTCTGAATTGCCAGAATAGTTCATAGCAATTTTCTTCTTCACTCTAATCTGTCCTACAGATAACCACTAGAGTCATCTTTCTATTTTTAATCACAATAAGCTATTGTCAGGAACATATAGTTAGTTGCTCGTTTTATCAATAGTAGGTTGAAGGTCCTAAAGCTCATGTTGAAGGCCCACTGGCAGCTGCCTCTTTTAGAAGGTCTGCATTTCTTCTTATCTGTTAACTTCTTCACCTGGCTGCCCTGCATGGCCTACTGTAATCAGCTTCTTTTCCTGCACATAGAACTTGCTGATTACCACTCGGTGCTTTCTGCCTTGAGTCCCCTCCTGTTTTCCATTTGCCACTTTGTATCATTTGCTTCTTGAACAGCTCTCCAATATCTGTGAACCAACTAAGGTAATACTTTATTCTGCATACCTTTCAGAGAGAGTTTATTTCCATATTTTGCTTATGTACGTTGTAATTATGTTTGTGTAATTTGTGTATATTTAGTCTCTCCAAGCAAATTATAAATTTTGAGAGGATGCAGATTGCCTCCTGATTTTTTAATCATCTGTATTTAATGCAAGGTCCAGCATTGAGCAGTGCCCAGAAAAATCTGTCTCACGTTTAACTAGGAAGGTACTGAGTGGACCTATAGAAGTCTGGGTGAAGTTTGCACATTCCTGTCAACACACTCACCATTTGTGGGTTATTTAGACCTTCTGAAGAATTGCGTTCAGTATGCTTGACCAAAGGAAGGAATAAAACTTTAAAATAAATTACTTCCATATAATTTGGCATCCCTTCTTAGTAGATCAGTTGAATTGGATGTCAGTTGACAAAGTAGAGGATATAAATTTCAAAAGTTTCAGATCTTGAGTAATATGTAATTCAATTATAATAATATTTGAACACATAGCCTTCAAATGGAAAACATCATTCAATTTTTTGTTGCTGTTATTATTGGGTTTTTTTCCCCCTTACAAATGTGGGCTAGAACAATCTTGTAAAAATTAAAACTTTCCTGTAATAAATGCAATATTTCTTTTTGTCTGTAGATCTTAGTTCGAAGAAGCAGCAGCCCTACTGAATTGGATTTGAAAGATGATTTGCAGCAGATGCAAGGAAAATGTAGGGAAAGACAGAAGAGTAAGTTCCAGGAAATGTGCTCTCTACTCATCCAACTAGAAAGTTTATGTGTTTTGTTTTCTTTTTGCTTTCTAACTGCAGTGGTTTCTCATCAATTGAAGAGACATGGTTGCAAAATGGGACATTTTTATTTCTGGTATCCCAAGACTGATGAAAGATTAATCCACATACACCATAAAACATTTCTAGTTAGTTACCTATCCCTAAGAGGCCTGTCTTTCTACCCTTGGGCTTTTCTCCAGGTTGAGAGGCATAGTAGAGTCTGATGGCTTGGGTGAGCAGACAGACAGAAGAAAAAACTGTCTTACCCAGAAAGTTCCCACAGGCTGGCAGTGAAAAACTTCAAAAGTGCATTACAGTCAATGGGATAAGTACTTTAAAATAAGGTTTGATTGGAATCCTGAGACATGTTATCATACACTGTAAAATATAGCCCTAGTACTCTGCTTTCCTGATGTCAGGTGCCAGGCTACCTTCTTCTCAGAGTAACATAGTAAATAAGTCCTGCAAGTTCAGGACAGTTCTTTGTAGGGTATAGAGGAGCTCTTCTCATGTTCTGTCTTCACCCTGTTGGTTTAGAGTTCTGTGAAAGATCAAGTTTGGGACCTAACAGATCAGTCACCTGATTAGAGAGACAACTTTCAGTTCTTTGCAAGTGAATAGAGGACCGCAGATTAGAATCAGTGAGGTTGGGGGGCTGTCAGTGGCAGATGCAGAGAGCAGCGGGAAGGGTGAGCAGACAGAAAGGGTAGACCCATAAAATTGTTATGAAGTACACAGGAGACTTTGAGGAGAACTGTCTAGGTTTGATTTGTGTCAGATTAAATAGCCCTATAAGTCTTAATAACCCAGCACCATTATATTATGACAAACTAGAACTTTAGTTAGTGTTTGAAGGGGAGAATTTACATTGTAGAAAATCTGTTGTAGTGGGGCACCTTATCCCAAATGGCTGTGGGTGATTCATCTGGGGGTTAAGTCTAAACATCAGGCTTGAGAGATATGGCATCTCTAAATTCTTCTGTCTGCTGGAATAAACTTGCATTTGTGGTGGAATCAGTAATCACCATTTTCCTCCACCCACCCTCATTTTGCAGTTGAATAAGTGTCAGGAGAAAACTTTAGGACTTGGCATAATCTTTTGGGTGTATAGGATAGCTAAGTGAAGACACCTCGAAAAGAATGCCAGTTGAGTGATATATAGTGGGGCTCTCAATACCCTGCACTTGGAAGATTTCTTTTGTTGACCCAGACCCCCACATGGGCACCTTTTGAGCCCCTATTAAGTTCTTCAGATTCTGCCCAGGCCCCTAAATGGTTCCTGTCATGTCTGCTAGTTAGGTGTTTAGTTACTTCCATATTGGTAATTGTGAACATTCTGATTTTCCGCCATTTGTTATCTCGAATTTTGGTTCTTCCATTGTGCCAGGTGAAAGTATCAGCAGTGATACAGCTCTAGGCTTTAACAATGAGCTGGAGCTGTCTATGAGCCCGTGGCAGACCTGTGAGGAAGACGCAGAACTGAATACTCCCACAGATGTTGTGGCTGACACTGATGCCCGCCATTGGTTACAACTGAGTCCCACTGATGCTTCAAATCTAACAGGTAACTGCATATTTGAAAAAGAAGTATCAGCACAAATAACTGGGAGATCCCAGAGTTTCCTAGTTGCAAGAACTCCAGGGGTCCCTTTGCGCAATGATGATGGGGTGCCACCTCCAACCACATTGGTGTGGCAGTCCCACCGCCTGTTCATGATCAGTCATGCGTTCTCAGAGTCTTGTGTGGAGAGGGTCTGAAATAGTGGCTGGATATGGGAGGAAGCATGCCATGCTCATGACCAGTGTGCACCATGGGAGGAGGTGATGGTATTCATGCCAAGTCTTTGGCATTCCTGATTGAATTTGCTGTACTCTGGAAACAGAGAAGAGTGATTTTTCCAGCTTACGTGTGTCATAAATCTAGTATAAGTCAAGGGGTTTGGATAGCTTATTGTTGAATATTTAAAAATTTTTTATTATAAAGCACTTGATACATACAACATAAATTTTTACATTTATGTAAGTTGTGGGCCATAGTAATAAAGTGAACACTGATGAGACTACTATCCAACTTTAAAACTAGAACATCACCCAAATCAGTGAGGTTCCCATGGAGGTCCTTCTCAAGTCCCTCTTCTCCCTTCATCCTGGGACCCTATTCCAAATTTATTTTATAATAATTCCCTTGATTTCTTCATAGTTTTACCACATATGTCTGTGTCCTCAGACAATATATTATTTAGTTATATTTCTGAACTTTAAAAAAGAAAAAATGATGTTATTCTTTGTATTTTGCACCTTTCCCCCCCACAGTATTATGTTTCTAAGATTCACGCATGGACTACATAGCCAAGCTTTCTGGGTCTATATCCCGGCTCTACCAAGGAGTTGCTGGGTGGCCTTGAGCTAGTTACTTAATCTCTGTCCTTCACTTTCTTTGTCTGTAAAATGGGGATAATAATAATCCCTACCTCATAGGATTGTTGGAGGAATAAGCGAGTGAACATGTAAGTCAGGCGCACAGAACAGTGTGTGTGGAAGCAGTCTGCAATTTTAGTTATTCACATGCACACATGTCCACACATGCATGCACACATCGTGTGACTCTGGCTAAGTGAACCTCTCAAAAGCTCAGTATCCTTGTCTATGTGACAGGGCTGACAAGAATGGGGACACCAAGGAGGAGCTGGTTTTTGTTTTGCTTTGTTTTGCAGGTATCAGGAAAGACTAGTGCTCTGAGGAGCTCAGTGTGGGAAATGCTGACCAGAGCCAAGACTTTCCTGGTCTGCCACATTCATCCTCACACAGAGATATGGTATATGAAAACAGCTATAACAACAACATAGAAACATGGTACAAGTTAAATAAAAAGTTTATTAAAATGCTAAAAATCATTTTTAAATTATAAACAAGGCTAAAATTTCACCTCAAGTGGGTTTTATTTTTACCAAACTTTAGGTTTCACTATGATATAAAATTTAACCAAAGTCTCTGTATTTTTAAAAATTCTTGATGAAGTAACATCAAAACATCAAAAAATTAACATATAAAATGGTATTGGATAAAATTTTTATAGAATGGATAATGATTTTGACTAATAATACTATAAATTTATATGGGATTTAATAGTTTACAAAGAACTTTGAGTTATCCTCTTTGATTCTGTACACCAAGCAGATCAGGTCTTATCATTTCTGTTTTAGAGATGAGGAAACTGAGACTCAGAGAAATTGTGTTACCCAGCTAGAAAGTAAGTTCCAGAGATGTAACTGGCTTCCAAAGTGTTTTGACTCCACATGCATTGCTGTGTCTACTTTCACTGTGTTGCTGTTAAAATTACAACTGTAAAGCCCTTTGAACTTTGAGAATCATTACACATTATCTAAGAGAAGCTCATCATTGTGATACGATAGGAGGTAATACTGAATCTTCAATAAGTCGAATTTACCTAAACAAGAACTAGTTTTAATTATTTTTATTGAAAGGAAAGAAAATTGGGTGATTACCTCTTTCATCTGTCCTTTGCAAAGATTAGTTTTGATCCCATTTCAGAGTATGCATTGGACAGCTCAATTTAATAAACTTGTGTGAGGTAATTTTATATGAAGCAATCTATGTTGTGATTAACTCCTCCAACTACTTAGTTCTTCTTTGAAATACTAATATAGAGAATCAGTACACTCAGTTCAATAGTTCATCTTGTCATCTGTGAAAAGGACAAACTGTAATATGATAAGGTTTAAGGATTATCACAGTTCTGAATTTAACTTTCTTTTCTTAAGAGAACAATTTCTTCATAAATGTGCAAATAAAACTCATGTTAGCCTGATCTTTAGGACATACGAGGAGAGGGATCAGACAATTTGAGTGTATCTCTGTTTCTCATCGAATAATCCTACCAATTATCAAGTGCTTAGAATAATAAACTGCTTCTAAAATCTTAAATTCCTTTATCACTGGCAAGCTTACAGCTTAGTTTTGTATGTGCTTTCTCATTTAAATCATTTTGTGTTTACTGAAAAGAACAGCTACATTTGTTGTGCATTGTTTTAAAATGTACCTCGGATTTGTTCTAATCTGGAATAGTAAGACACGCAGACATGGAAATGATGATCATAAAGGAAGAAATTTCTACTCACAGGTCCCTGGGAATAGGAGCCCCTTGGGGAAGCACCACAGTTCATCAGGAGGCAGAGGGAACAAAACACAGGCAAGAGCCTTTATTGCCATTTCCACAGGAAAAGCAAGGCAAGGCAGGGTCAGCAGATTTAGGATTGGCTGGTGTGAATAATTTCAGTGGGCTCTGGGACATAGGTGCTGTCCTTAGTTGCCTGGCCCTGGGGTAATTAGGGCCAGGAGTATATTGACCAGCTGAGTTAGAGCTAGATAAAGGAGGTGGTTGGAGGATATGAGCTTTGGACTGGTTAGTTTGCATATGAAAGGCACGCTCCCTGATGAGTTGTTTGCTATCTCTAGGAATTAGCTAACCTTGGAAAGGGCAGTTCCTCCCTGAGCAGTAAGGCCTCAGGTGCCAGAGCATTATGAATACAGAAAATAAAATATAGTTAATGCATGT